ATATATTCTATACACACACAATATTTTTGCAATATTTAACAGCTGAAAGACTTTTTTAATTTAAGCATATATTCACAGCAGTTGCTGAACGTAATCGGTCCATTTCCTCCTTTGATGCCCACTAGACGGTGAGATGCATGTGATTACAACAGATAATTAGTTATTAAGTAGGAATGAGAACAGGACACGCTGGCTGTGACCTTTCCAATTAGGCAACTTGCTGAATGTTAGGAGTTACAGGATATTAGAATCTGTTGTTGAATTTATTTGTGGTCTTACATTGTTCTTTTTCATTCTTGGTTTTGTGCCTTGTTCGATTAGTGTACTTGACTTGTATATAAAAATCTGCAGCCTATCTGTACATCCCTGTAGTAACGGAAGGATCCTCTCGTGTCGGTCACCACTTTGACATGAGAGGTCAATCAGATTAGCCCGTAACCAATCTCATATTGGAACTTACTTTTCTGGTAAAGCATTGTTTTCACATCCGCAAAACAAATTAAAGTGGTTGTAACATTTCTTTTCATGTTACCTGTTGACCTTTATAAGCCTTTAGAGAACCATTTCAGCCAGCAACTGCTTGTTTTCAGTGTCATTGGAGCTATATACTGGGAATTTTTCTTATAGAAGACAAGAGTATATTGTGCAAGTTTGATTTTGTGTTTTAAAGAAGAAAAATGTATACCACATTGGTGTTCATAAGTTTTTGATGAGCAGTGAACTTTCAGCTGAACTTTTAGCTGGAACCTCTTTGGTGTGGTGAAGTATTGTTTTTGAGTTAAGCTGCAAGGTAATATTCATATTAAAAAAAAATGCTTTTTTCCTGGGAAATTCTGAATGGCAACGCATTAACTGTGCCATAATCTCTATGGCAGTTTAGAGCTAAGTCTTTGTTACGGAAATATACTTCCTTTAGCAATAAATATCAGAAATTAGTGCTAAAGGACTGAGGTTTTTATATATTTGAAGATACATTGCAGGCTATATTGGAGTAATATACCTATGACAGTTTAAACCAGAGACTTTCTCTATCATCATCATTTGATAGTGCTTTTCTACATTAATACATAACAATAAATGTCTGTCATTCCATGCAGTTTCATTGAATCTTTCCAGAGACAGAGGCTAGTCTGGCCATGAACTAACAAACAAGGCATAGAGCATTCAGTTGCTTTCTAAACAATTTGAAGATCTGTAACAGGTCTAAGCTGTGAAAAACTACAGATAAAAAACATGGTCTCCCATTTTCCTGTCTATGTTGAAGCCAAAAACCATTGGTATGTCTGATGCACAGAGGCTGTCTCATGCATTAGTCAACAGAATGACTGCCCTTAAACATTGCTCCCATGTGTGTTGTAACTTGGCGTACAGTAATAGAGTTGACCTGCATCCTGAACAGTGCTTTTGGGCACGAGTGATCCAATTCATCCCACTGGATTGGGTGGACGGAGTGGCTCTAGGCAGGAAATAAGTCTGGGTGCCAAAAAAATAACTGTAATTATTGCCCGAAATATCATCCGGGTAAAGAAAAGAAAAAAAAAAAACTCTACTGTATTCTGTATTTTTCTATAAATGTAAACAAACATATATGAATAATGAATAAAGTACATATATCCACATGTTTCTTACTGGTATGTTTGCTTTTCATCAACATGTTTTTTTTTTTTTTGGTTGTGTTGAAGTTATTTTCAAGAGAAAGAGTTTAAGTTTTAACTTTACTGTGGAACTATCCAGCAAGGTCCAGTACCTTAAACAACATAAGTTATAATTAATATGCAGATGAGACTACATTGGGTTTTAAAAATTGTATTATTATAAAACAGTTTCCCATATTTTCTTACTTGTGGGGGCAGTCGAGGAGCGAATACACATTTCTATTGGTCATTAACAGCAACATTTTATTGGTAAATGTGCGCATGAAGAGCATAAGTTTGCATTGGGTTTGAA